CTTCCTCTCCCAGATTAGAGCCATTTTATAGTAGATAAGAGATCATTCTTGTGGAGATCATGACATATCCTCAAGGCTTCTTTATCGCAGCTTAGAGATTATCTTTGGTGGAGATCACGACTTATCCTCAACGGAAGGAAGAGGTTGGGGAGCTCTTCATGAAACGTGGTCAAAGATTGGACCGTTTCCTTCCTTAAGGCGGTGCAGATAAGCTTCCCGTGCTCTCCTCTTGGTGATCTGCTAAGCAAGAAGTCTAACCGGCCTTAAGCTTCTCGTGTTCTTCTCTTGGTGACGTGCTAAGCAAGAAGTCTAACCGGCCTCAAGCTTCTCGTGCTTCCTCTTGGTGACGTGCTAAGCAAGAAGTCTAACCGGCCTTAAGCTTCTCGTGCTCTCCTCTTGGTGACGTGTTAAGCAAGAAGTCTAACCGGCCTCAAGCTTCCCGTGCTTCCTCTTGGTGACGTGCTAAGCAAGAAGTCTAACTGGTCTTGGACTGTCTTGGGCTTGGTGGAATCAAAATGAGGTTGGGCTCCTCAACTGGGGTTGGACTTTAACACATAAATTGAACTATTTGGGCTTAACCCATCAATTAATGTTACTCATCCATAAGGACAGTACATCAAAAAACTCAATGACTAAACAGTAGACAGAAAAATAAAGAATAGGTACCTCGAAAGGCAGTAAGGTTAAGGCTTTTCGTCTAACGCACTCCTGCTCCAGCATCTCTGTAGATGATCCTCAAGATCTGAGTGGATGGTGTTGCAATCCAGGACAATGGATTTTCGCAATCCAGGACAAAATTTAAATTAGAAAATTAATTTAACTCTCATTTTAAAGGAGGGTATTTTAGAGTTTTAATAAAATAGTGGACTTAATTATTTATTAATAAATTAAAATATGACTTATCACCAAATGAGTTTTCTTGAAGGATTAAACTCATTAAAAATTTCTTAAGGAGGACTCAGCCCTAATTTTCATATTTTATTATTATTAAATGTTATGTGTTAAATGTGTATTACTATTTTTAGCGTTTCTTTACTTGAGGTTTGTATATTTAACAATTGATCCCATTAACCACATAACCATTATCATCACAAAACCACAACTAGTACCCAAATATTTATATGATTTTATAGCATGAGAAAATATTTAAAAAAATTCCCAGGTTGTAAACATTCTTTTTGAAGTTATTTAAATTTTTGTTAGTAAAATTTGACAATATATATATATATATATAAACTCAAGCTAATCACAAAAAAAAAAAAAATAAGCGATATCAATTGCACCAAAAAAATAAAAATATTTAGACCCAAGCTAATCTCCATCAACACTTAGACACAAACAAAAAGTACAAACATACAAATAAAACCTTCAATCTATTATTCGTACAAAAAACATTACTATTATATACAAATCAATAGTTCTCAAAATAAAAAAAAAATCTAAAGTCTAATAACCAATAAAACAAGCACTCCTGTGTGTCCCCATC